TTTTTTAAATATTATTTTTATTAATAAAGTTAATTATGAACCATATGGGTTATTTGTGAGTTAACACTTGTCAAGCATTTATAACAGTACCTAACACATAATTAATGTTGTCAAATGAATACATAAAATATGAAAACATTATTCAATATTACTGCTCAAAAGTGGTCTGATGGTGGAGAAGAACTGGGTAATATTTTAAGCAGTCTTCAGACTGAGGTGGTCTAGTAAGGAAAACTGCTTTGGGGATCTGAAGATCAGCAAATCTAAGGTATTGATTCTTTCTGGATAATACATTAGTCATTTGTCAACATTCCCAAAAGATGACTCAACATCTAATGGTTTTGTCCCATGACCAACTGTAAGGAAGAAAGAAAGAAAGATGGGAGGCAGAAAGGCTGAACAAGTAGAGTTTATTGCTCCCTGGCAGCAGCTGAGAAGGAGCTCCAGAGGGTGAGGTCCGCAGCTACTGTGAGTGCTGTAGGGGAAAGTGTCTCTTATACAGGCTTTAGTAGGTTCAGTTGTAGAAAGCTGACTGGGTTCTGTACACCTGGTTGTGAGGCCGGGTCCTGGTCATTGTGCTATTGCCAAATATGGTCACCGGTAGCCGTTGTGTTACTGACCATATTGGATCACATGCAACACTAATGAACAATTTTTACTTACGAAACTATTCTAAATTGCAATCTGTGTGACAAACTAACACACCACTGAGCACCCATGTAAATATAAGTAAACATCCGTAACAACATGAGGATGATTTAACCATTGTACAATAAAAATACCCAAGCCACTGGATTGCGTGACCACCTGCATTCCTAAGGGGATGGCCCCGGATTCAGAATGTGACCTAATTTGGAAGTTGGGTCTTTGCAGATGTCATTTCAAAGGAGAACACACTTGAGTAAGGAAGCTCCCTCATTCAATATGGCTGGTTTCCTTATAATGGAAATGTGCTCACAGATGTGCCCCGAGAAAACACCAAGCATAAGGCTGAGCTTGGGGTGACACTTCTGCAAGTCCAGAGAGGCCAGAACTTTCCAGCAAACCAGTGTGTCCGGAGGCGGAGGATGGAATAAACTCTCCCTCTCAGCCTTTAGAAGGCATCGACTTTATCAACACCTCAACCTCTAGCCTCCCGCCTCTGGCCTCCAGGACTGGGACACCATACATTCCTATAGTTAAG